GATCCAAACATGAATCCGTTGGTCGAAAAGGGGGTTAGAAGAAGGGTTCGTCATGTCCGCACTCTCTTGAGGAAATTCCTTGAGCCAAGGAGAAGGGGACCAAGGAAAAAGTGTATCGGGCCTGACATAGGCCAAAGTATCGGCCCATTTGGGGATGTTGGAGGGGATGTCGGAGATAAAGTGGGCGTTATTACGACTCTTAAGGTGAAGGCCACGGGCCTGTTTTGAAGGGATGTAGCAATAATGGAAGAAGGCTAGATCGAACTGACCTAACTAAATATGAGATAAAATTATGAAGGTGGTCATGAAGCGAATAGCGTTGGGAGGAAGCTGATTTAAGGGAAGCCTGAACCACTAGCAGATGTGGAGTAGATCAAGACTGAGAGGAAAACGGATGCCGAGGTCGAACTGGATTTTGAAAAAAGTGTATCAGTTGGAAGGAGGGCGATCATAGGTATCGGCGGGAGAAGGGCGATAGAAGCCCCAGCCAGCGGGAAGACCAACTTTGTCACCATCTAGCCAGTTGATTGAATGAGAGACAGAGGGAGTATATTTGGAGACTTTGGTGGAGAGGTGGATGTGTTAAGCTGAGAAGAAGAGGGATGAATGGTCGAAGATGTAGGGAAAGTAGGCTGAGAAGAAGTGACCTCATCCTCCTCTGGCTCATCTAACGAGCCAAAGGCAGGTCGACGACGGCGGAGGGGAATGTTATCCATGGTATCCCCGAAGTTAGAAGAAAAAACACGGGCTGTGAAAACGATGTTAGGAACAGTTTCGCCGAGGCGAAGGATAGAGAGAGGAACAGCTTCGAGGGCAGAGGGTAGTATTTGAACCGAATCAGAGGAGGTGGTCGAAGTAGCAGAATCTGGAAAAACAAAAAAGAGAATAATATCAAAAAGGGAAATTTCAACGAAAAGAAAAAGGGGGAGAGAAGAAGGTTTCCAAAGCTAGGGTTTTCTGGAAGAAGGCGATTCCAAAAAATCAAAAGGGGAGAAAACAGGAAGTTCAAAAAATTGCAGAGGGAAAAGTAAAATTCACAGCAATCAACAAACAAATCACAATATTCTGAACACAAATTTAGGGCAAAACGCGCAAATCCAGAGAATTTAACAAATAAATCTGGGATACCCAACACGAAAAGAGCAGGCAAATTTGAAACACATGAAATGTAAATTCAGGCAAGGGACAACTTACTCATAGTCGCAGATGAAGAAATCGAGAAAGCCGAAAGAGTATAAGAGAAATCGCCGAGAAGGAAAGCAACGGTTGCAAGAAAAGCTCAGATTACAAAGAGTTCAAAAATTGCAAAGGTGGAAAAACTCAGAAAATTTGCTAAGTGTTGAATTTATACCTAGGTGATTCAGAGAGTTGAAAGATAAGAACCATTGGATTAAAGCCAGATCGCACGGTGGAGGGTATTAACTTGCACGGAGCTCAAAGTGGGCACGTTATGCGAGGGGATGCAATAATTAAAGCGACTGACATGTATGACGCATGGCAGAAAAGCAGGCGCGACAAAAATGACATGTGATAGATGGCTATTTCTGGTAGCTAAAGAGGAATTAATTGAAAAAGTGAGCGGGAAACTCATCAGATGGTCGATATCAGGCATTAGGCTATTTAGGAGAGCGATGAGCACAAATTCACTCTTAGATCGAGTCATCTAGACTCGACTAGAGTGGGGGGGACTAGATGATATATGATATTATACACGCAAGGCTAAACCGGCCTACTGAACCGGTCGAGGAGGTCATGCCAAACCAAGCTGAGTGGTGGGAAAGTCAACTAGTCGACCAGCTGAGCAGTTGACCAATCTACCATTCGACCAGGTGAATGGTCGAGCAGATCCGTCGACCTCAACCGGTGACCACTTCGCGGACTTAACACTTCATAGATCGGCCTAGTCACAGGCGCGTGAAAGAGCCTCTAACGGAATTTCAAAACAATATTCATCCCATATGCTGAAGGACACGTGTCGAGAACTTATTGTTTGATAGCGACAACCACCTCTGACAGCCCAACGTCCCGCGCCAGCTCTGACATGCGCGCGGTGTGTCAGGGTACGGACGGGCAGCTTGGGCAGCCAGCTCATCAAATTCGGGCAGCCTTAGGTCAGGTATCTCACTCCTATATAAAGGGGGTGAGCCTTTCTTCCTTGACACGAATTTTCCATTATTCAACTCCAGTATACTCATACACATACTGACTTAAGCATCGGAGGCTCTTCACCGGACACAACCCCCGGTGTGAGAGTTATTTGTAGGTTTCCGGGGTTCTACCGACGAAGGCGAGGTTCGATCTATCCTAAACCGGGCCAGGACGCTCACACTTCCATTAACATTCACTTCTTTATATATTCTATTTATTGAAATAATATTTCTGCGAATATATTTTATGTAATATTTAATTTCTATATTTCATTTAAATTTTATGAAAAAAACACATTAAAGTGATTATCTTATAGTGTTTTAGATATTTAGATTTTTATTCATTTTATAAAATATTTCATATGTTATTGATATTTTTTAAATGGATTTGATGATAATTTTTTTTTTTTATAAAGATAGGTGATATTATTTTGTATTTACATATGCAATATCGATGTCAAATCGAAAATCGTTAAAATATGATTATAGGAAAATAAAGTACAATAGAAAAGTTATAAGGTTTTAAAATAAAATAATACATATTAGTATTATATAATATATAAAGTAAATAAAAAAGTAAGATTAGTACATGGTAATTTAAGAAAAAAAAAATGTAAGATAAAATAGTTTATGATAATTTCTAAGACTTATATTCAATAATAAACACGACTTAATGTCGAATAAGTTTACTAGGAATACGAGTATTCCACTTAGGCTAAACGCATTCAAAAATTATATATAAGAGCAATTAGTATTTTTGTGTTTTTTTACAATATTTTTTAATTAATATATTTATTTTCTAATATAAAATTGCATAATTTTAATTAAAATATTAAATAAATTATTAAGTGATTTACCAATTATCTTCCTACTGCATGCGCTGTAATCTTTTCCATAGTATGCTTTTGTCGGTACGGAAAGCTATTCTCTTATGTTTGATTATATCTTGATCTTTATCCGTTTGAATGTAATATTTTTTGGTTAAAGAATGATAGCTTTTAATATCTGTCTCAAGCTTCATTTTACCATAATAATTTATGTACTAGTACAACGCCCGTGTATTACACGGGTGTGCAAATTTTGTTCTTAAAATCTAAAATTAATGAAAAAAAGTAATTGAAAATTTAAATACCTTTTATAAAAAAATATATATTATTATATATTTAGTATGACACTTTTTATTTGTGCGACTTACTTGTGTTATATTATAATAATTTTTTAACTTACAACATATAACTAAATTAAACATAAATATATCAATTGAGAAATAATTTTATTTTTCTAACGAATTTTAAATAAATATTATTATTTTTTATTATTATAGAAATAAATATAATTTATTTATTTCATATATACAATATGGATGTCAAATCGAAGATCATCAAAAGATGATTAATTTGATATATTATATATGTAAAACTGATAAGAAATACAAAACTTATCAACTGTTAAAATACATTTACAATTAAATAACTAATTGAAGGAAACAAATCAAAAGTCAGAGATATATTATGTAACATCCCGCTATTTCATGAAAATCAGAGTGCGATTTCGCAAAACTTTTAAATAAAATACTAATTAGTTTGCGAAATACTGATTCGGAGTGCTACCGTAAAAACTTGACTTTATCTGAAAACCGTTATTCTAGTTTAATAACAAAACAGTTATATAAGATAATAATCGACTAACGTCGGATCAAAAGCTGGTTTAGTAAACTGTAATAGTAGCGGAAATCATAGTGTAGCCAAAACATGATCATATATACAAATGTCCTGAACCGGTCGCCAGCTCACTCCTCGACTCCGACCCTGTGACCTGAAAAAAAAATGAATAATGTGGGGGCGTGAGCACTTATCCACTGTGC